TGCAGGTTAGCCTGGGCAGAATGTTCTGGCCATTTAGTAAGAGAGAAAAGCCTGGTGGGGTGAGAGGCTGAGTTCCCCACAAGCACACTCTCCCCGCCAATGAACTTGCTTCCATCTTTCTCTCTCTCTCTTTTTTTTTATTGGTATCAGGAATCGAACTCACCTGGAGTTGACCTCGACCTGGAGCTGGGCAGGCAGGCGCTGCACCACTGAGCTATGAACTTGCCCTCTGCCTCTCCCGCCCCCACCCCTTCCCAGACACTGAGAAAGTGAGTGAGCTGGGGGTTTTTGTTTGTTTGTTTGTTTGTTTGTTTTTGTGGTGCTGGAGATCAAGCCCAGGGCCTTGTGCATGCAAGGCAAGAGCTCTACCGCTAAGCCCCATCCCCAGCCCGAAATCTCTATGCTTGAAACCAGTTCCCAATTGGTGGCTTTTAGCACTGTGGAACAAGAACCTGTGTTTCTGGCTGCCTAGTGCTGAGCGCCATCTTCTAAACTAGAGCTCTGGGACTTTCGCACATCACTTGGAAGGAGGGTAAGGATTTGACGGACTCTTGTCGAAAACGTAACTCCTTCTGTTCTTGTCTACTTACTACCAGGAACGAATCATCGCAGGACTTCACATCCACAAAATAGGTTTATAGTTGATTTGGAGCCCTGTCTCATGTACTTACATTCATGTATGGATACTTGGACTAATTTAAAAAAACAAGGCACCATTTTACTTTATATGTTTATTAACTATGTCATCTATAGATAATTACATCGTATGCTATCTTTATCAATTGTATGCTATTAATAATAGTAATGGTAATTCAACTCAGAAGACGTAGAGGATTAGACTCACAGGAAAAGAAAACTTGAAAAGCTTTTTGTTGCTGTTGTTCTGAGACATAATCTTGCTAATGTAGTTCAGTCTGGCCTTGAAGTCACTATGTGTAGCTCAGATTGGCCTGAAACTCATGGGGATTCTCCTGCCTCAGCCTCCCGAGTGCTGAGATTATAGGCCTGTGGCACTACACCTGGCTAAGCCTTTTTTTTTCAATGTACCTACTGATAGCCAGCTATTACCACTTACTAGGCTGGTGATCTTGGGTTTTTTAATCTTCTACATGAGGATATACTTCATAATTCATATTTTGTCATGAAATTAAATGAGTCAATATGTATTATGAGAAACGGAAATTCTATTATAAGAGAAAGTCTATTGTTATAAGAAACAGAAATTATGTAGATTTTCTGATTTGCTTACCTAAATTAATCAGAATAAAAGGATTTAGTATAGCCTAACTGAATGGGTCAGGCATGGTGGTGCACGCCTGTACTCCCCGCACTCAGGAGGCTGAGGCAGGAGGATCATTGCAAGTTCGAGGCCAGCCTGTGCTACAAGGTGAGTTCAAGACCAGCCTGAACTGCACAATGAGACCTTGTCTCAAAAAAAAAAAAAAAAAAAGTGAATGGTGGTGAGTAGCAAAGGGCCAAGATATTTATATTCCACTGGATGCATTTAGAAGAGTGATTAATGGTCTTATTTTAAAATGTCAATACTGATGATACGTTAGGAATTACATCTTTTTCAACTGTATCATAAAGTCAACGATGTTCAAAGTGATCATTTAAAAATTTTTTACACATATGAGCAAATATCTTACAAGACACTTATCACAGCGTCTTGCCGAAATTCGGACTCCGCATAGTGCTCGATAGGAAAGTAATAAAAATATTTCGTTTATAATCTTCCCTAGCCCTGTCCTGAACAGAACGAGTCCACCACGCTCCAAGTTCTCTGCGGACGAAGCCTGTAGTAGCCCCTCGTCACCCCTAGGGGGCGTGCCGACTGAACGCGCCTCTGGCTAGCCCCTTGGTCTCTCTCGGCTTCCGTTGAGCACGAGCAAGATGGCGGCGGCTGAGACGGTCAGACTACGGCTTCAATTTGACTACCCGCCGCCAGTCACCCCGCATTGTACCGTCTTCTGGCTTCTGGTAGACATGAACAGATGCCGAGTCGTCACGGATCTCATTAGTCTCATCCGCCAGCGCTTCGGCTTCAGTTCCGGCGCCCTCCTCGGCCTCTACCTGGACGGGGGGCTCCTGCCTCCCGCCGAGAGCGCGCGCCTGGTGCGGGACAACGACTGCCTCAGGTGCGCGCGGCGGGGTCGCGACCTGGGCGTCCGCGTCCTCCCGCGGCGCTCCCGCGGCGCCCGGGTGGTGGGGG